ATCAGAGAGAAAGTCATGCCCTCCCTTTCTTAGATGAATGTGGTACAACTGCCTTTCAGAGTAATTTGATAATACTTAATTTATTGAAAATATTTTATACCTTGTGACCTATATTTTGGGCACACAGAGAGATGTGTTCTAAGATGTGTATTGGGGCATTGTTTACAATAGGAAACTGAGAAGCTAAATGTTAATTAACAGAAGATGTATACATAAAATGTCATGTATTCATATCATATACTGAAATACTATATTTCAGTTTTATTTACTTATTTGAACAAAGGCAACTCACTCAATCACTCTATGTATCAATTTGTCTACAAAATAGACAACGGCTCTTTATTTGCCTCATGAAATTAGCCTAAGACTTTTTAAAAGTGTTTGAAAGCACTTTTTAAACTGTAAGAGTTTCACAAAGTTGTCATATTTATTGCATACCTCTGTAAAAAAAATCTAGAAACTAAATAAAAATAATCAGTTAATTCTTATAGGCTGTATGAGTATAAGCCCTTAGATGTGTTAACTATATGAAGAATTGGTATAAATTTTTACTTTTGAGTCTAAATGTTTTTCTTAATAGATGATTTTATCCAAGCAATATGGATAACTACCTTTACATTTCATTTTTCTTTGTATATTTTTTTCTTGACTATAATCAATATTGAAAATATATTGATAACTTAGTTATATGGCACAAACCTTTAAGAAACTGATAATTAAATGGTCCAAATTATTAAAAAAAAACTTCTACAGAAATGTAACTAGAGTGCATATTATCTCTCTTGATGAGCAAAGGCCAAAACTTACTCAGTTAATATAGAGTCCTAAGCCCCTAATATGGCATTTCTGTTATAGGGTAGTTTCTCAAGAAGTGGATGATAAATGAAGTTGATAGCGGTTCTTCCTAATTTACAAAGCTCCTTTACATTCATTATTTTTTCTTTTTTTTAAATTGAAGTATACTTAGCATGTAACATTTTAATTCCAGGTATACAACTTAATGATTTTGTATACATAGTGAAATAATCACCACAATAAGTGTAGTTAATATTCATCACCAAACATAGTTAAAAAATTTTTTTCTTGTGATGAAAACCTTTAAGATCTACTCATTTAGCAAGTTTCAAACATGCAATACAGTATTAAATATAGTCACCGTGCCATACATTAATAAGTCTCCATGACTTATTTATCTTATAACTGGAAGTCTGTACCTTTTGACTCCCTTCACCCACTTTACCCATCCCCTAACTTTACCCTGCCTCTGGCAACTGCCAATCTGTTCTCTGTATCTATGAGCTTGTTTTTTTTGTTTGTTTGAATTTGGTCTTTTTTTCATTCCACATATAAATGAGATCATACGGTATTTGTCTTTCTCTGTCTGACTTATTTAACTTAGCATAATGCCCTCAAGGTTTATCCATGGCAAGATTTCATTCTTTTTGTGGCTGAATAATATTCCACTGTACATATGACACATTTTTTATCCATTCATTCATGAATGGACACTTATGCTGTTTTCAGGTCTTAGCTACTGTAAATAATGCTACAATGGACATAAGGGTGTATATACCTTTTTAAGTTAGTGTTTTTGATTTCTTTGGACAAATACCCAGAAGGGGAATTGTTGGATCATATGGTAGTTCTATTTTCACTTTTTTTGAGGAACCTCTATATTGTTTTCCATAGTGGCTGCACCAATTTACCTTCCCACCAACAGGATACAAGAGTTCTGTTTTCTCTACATCCTCCACAACACTTGTTATTTCTTGTCTTTTTGATAATAGCCATTCTGGCAGGTACAAGGTGATATCTCTTTGTGGTTTTGATTTGCATTTCCCTAGCAATTAGTGGTGTTAAGCATCTTTTCATGTACCTGTTGGCCATTTGTATGTCTTCTTTAGAAAAATGTCTGTTCAGATCCTCTACCCCTTTTTAAATTGGATTGTTTTCTGTTTATTTGGTTGATTTTTTTTTTGCTGTTGAATTGAATGACTTCTTTGTATATTTGTGTATTAACCCCTTATCAGATATATGATTTGCATTCATTTTCTCCCATTCACTAGGTTGCATTTTCATTTTGTTGATGGTTTCTTTTGCTGTGCAGAAGCTTTTTAGTTTAATAGAGCTCCTCTTGTGTATTATACTGCAGTTTTAATGAATGAATTGGATCTATATGTGTTAACATGGTTACTAATGTATTCCCAGATATGTTTCGTGATAGCTTTGGAAATTACTATGTCTGTAAATTCAAAAGTCACTCGTTTTTTGAATATATAGTTAATTTGTGTGGTTTGATTGTGCTAGGTATTTTGATGACTAAGTTTGACATCTCATCCTTTATATTTGGTAACTTAGATAAATAGATAAGACATACGTTGAAAAGTTAACAGTAAACAATAATGGTGCTACTGAGATCATAAGACATTATAGATGGCTCTGACTTACACAGTCCTTTAAGAAGTCTGTTATATATACTTGCTACCATGTACAGAGCCTGGTCCCTGACTGAAATACCCTGTTCTCTTTCAGCCTTGTAGATCTTACACCAGCGTGGGATCAATGGAGGCAAGGGAAAGAAAATAGCTCCTCTCCCTCCCCACACCTCCATACACTCCTACCTATCACTCATCCACGTAATGAAATGCTTAGAGTAGATTTTGTGAAGAAACAAAATCACTGTGCCCACATGCATTTATACTGTGTCCTTTTTCACCTCGAAACCTAAACGTGATCTTCTCTTGAAATTTTTCCTCATTAAAACATAAATCCATTCTCATGAGAAATTAGGGTAAAATGAATCATTAAAATAACAATGATCACTATAATTATAATATATAATGACATATATAAATATAATTTTGCTAGGTAATTAACTGTATCTTAGTTATGCATTAGGCATAAAAATATAATGTGTTTCATATGGTAATTTTAGTAGTAGTCAAGCTAAAAATAAAAGAATTCAAGTGTATAATTTTCCAACTTATTTTTAGAAAAAAACTGAACTCTAGATGTATTTTGTCTCTCTGCTAATTATTGCCTTTGAAATCTTGCTATTCACAACCAGTGACTGCCAATATCTCTTGTACTGATTTCATACTCATTTGTATTAATTATGAACATATAATTAGGATAGTTAAATTACAGTCCCAAGTTCCTAAATTAAAAAACAATGCATGATTTTTCAGAACTTTTTACATAAACGCTACACTTTGCCAGTTCTTAATATTAACACTCAAATAAGAAAACAGGTATAGAAAATATTCTGACCTATTACTGACAGGGTCAATCATAGGATTTTTTTTTTCTATGAGATACATGAAATTACTTAATTTTTAAAAGATTGAAATGTAATATAACTTGTTCTTTGCATGCTATATTTTAGAACACATCAGTCAGGAATTCTCCCTATAACTTGGGTCATTGTAATAACTACTTATTGCTAATCTAATTATGTACTTTTATTAGTTGGGGGAGGGAAAATTCATTTCTAGAAGATAGATTAAGTCATTGACCACTCCTTAGTTTAGTCCTATTAATTGACTTTTTCTCTTGGCTTTGACTGATTCCTTTCCTCTTCATGTATGATTAAATTTTTATCCTTTTTGTTGCCAAGCATTATTATAGGAAGTTAAGTGTGTTCATCAACTAAATTTTGAGTTTAAAAAAAAACCTTTTTGTAATACCACAGTATTTTGAATTCCTGGTAAGAAGTTCAACTTCTTCATCTTCTCTTACAATCCAGTCTAGTATTTTACCTTGTAATAAATATTCAGTAAGTCTCTGGCTAGGTTTAAGAAACCAAAAAAGTAGTCTGGGAATATGGAATAAAGTTCAGAAAGCAGAAGTGGTATATTAACCACATGAAACCTTACTGTTGAAGCGCCCTTCTGTCTTAGCAAGGTTTTTTATGGCAGGAAAATAATGAACACCAAGGCACAGGCAGCCTGCAAAGAAGCAATTCAGCAGCATGGTTAAACTCTGGAACAGAGTTGCTGTCAGTTTGCCTCAGCTAGCAGAACTGACAACATGAGAAGTTTTAAAATCTATTTTTTTCCAATTCTACTATATGTCTTTTCCCAGGGTGTGTTACTCAATTAAAATATTATTTTACCAAATTCCTTAACACAGTATCTGGTACATAAGAGTTGCTCAATAATTATTTGCTGAATAAGTGAATGGATGAATGTCATAATATATAAGAAATTATATTCTGCCTTAGAAACTAAATGTGTTAGATAAATTGTACATAAATGATAAATTGGCTTGACGATAGAGAACAATCAAGAATTGAAGGGGTCTTTGAGGAAGGAGGCTATAGCTCAGTGGTAGACTGCATGCTTAGCATGCAGAAGGTCCTGGGTTCAATCCCTGATACCTCCATTTAAAAAATTACAAAAAAAAAAATTGAAGAGGTCTTTCATGTTACTTTAGTTCTCTCTTTGTATTCCATATGTTATTTATGTCTGAAAGGAATATCGTGTAAGATAAATAAACGGTCTATTTATAAGAGAGTTATATCCAAGAAAAAGGCTGTATTTTATATTTGTTCAGGCTACTTTTAGCAAAGAGTAACAAAATTTTATTTTAAGCTTACATTCCATCAATAGTGGTGATCCAATCTCTAAAGGTTATTATTCTCATGAATTTGACTTAACTTGAATTTGTCACTGAATATAAAAGGAATATTTATTTATTTATTTAAGAGCATTTAGGAAATATAGAAAAAGTATGCAGAAGATAATTACAAATCTCATTAATTCCAACAACAGAGAAAACAATGTCACTTCTTAATATTTTAGAATAAAATTTATTTTGAAAGTGAATTTAGTTCTTTCCTCACTTTAATAAGAATTATTTTTGACATTATTTTGTAGGTGGTTGTTTGATTTTTAAACTTAATTAAACTATTTCTCATTAACCTGTGCTTTTTTTGTAGTGAATAACTTGATTGGTTAGTTTATAGTTCAGTTATATTCATCTTATTGTGTCTTTAACAGGTCGAGAAGGTGCAAGCAGTAGTTACCGAGGGAAAGCCAGAAAAACTATAAGCCATAAATGGGAAAGTCAGATGTGGAGAGAGAAAAAGTTTGGCTTAATAGATCACCTACATTACAGCCGTATTTATCCTGAAAGTATTCCACGGAAATTTGTCTCAGAACACCGAAATTTTCTTGCTCGGCAGTATAATTCTCAGCCTGCAAAATATGTACCACCAGAAGGAAGGCCCCAGAAACTTGATGATTTTAAGAGTGCCCGAAGCCTTGGACATTTTGAGGTAACCATCCTAGGTAAGTCAACTGTTCTTCTCTTTGAATATTATTAATTTGACATACTTTAAATATAGATGATACTATTTTGCTTTAAAAAATTAAGCATTTCCTCCCTCCCCCCCCAAAAAATTAAGCCCAGGGAGAGGAATGGAGGACTAATTCTGGAATACATTAAGCTCTAATTGTGAGCTTTTAAACATTGGCCAGTCCTTGGAAAGTATTTGGGAAGAGAAGAGTGGGGACCAAGGGAACTTTCCTCCCTGACTCTGACTGCTTCTAAAACTAATTTTCTTCTCTTTTAGCCACCAATTTCTTGCTCATATTCTCCGTCTCTTTCTCAGTGCATCTGAACCAATCAAGGGTAAAATGTAGGTTAAAGAGAATGGGATACTAATTGAGAGAAGATCCTGTGAACAGAGGTCTGTTTAGACCCTGGGAAAAATAAAATTCTCAAGTAACTTAGGTTAGAAAGAAGCCGTTGAAAAAACTGTCTTGTCTGATAGAGGACAATAAGCTGATTTTCTCAGGTTGTTTTAAACTGACAAGTAGACACAGAACTTACAGAAATTTAAAGAAGTCAACACATTGTTAAACTTATTTTAAATGTTTGTTTCTAATGAATGAAAAATGGACACACAGAAGTTAATTATAAAATAACATCTCAGCCAAAAAGAGCTACTTTCTGAGTCAAGGAATTTTTTGATTTGTATTTGAAAGGAAGGTCTTGTTACCTTAAAATGAAAGAATGACAAATTCCATTAGCAAATTAATTAAATGCCTGAAAGAAAATGCATTTCATGGATTTTTACACCTATACTAATGTAATGAGTTACCTTGCCCTTTATCAAAATTGCTTTTTACCCTTTACTCTCTCCCACTTCTTCGCTACCTCCTCACACATAAATATATACATACATGTGATTGTGTATATATATATATAAAATTATGAAAAGTATGAATTCCCAATGACACTGTTAGACACTCTCATACCTAAGTTTCAAATGCTTCTTTTTGCTAGACTGCATTAGTCTCTTCGGATAGTCTATCAATCTTAGTTTTATATCAAGGAAACAAAAATTATAGCAGAGATTTCCCATACATCACAAAAAGTAACGATGAAAATCATGAGTTCATCTGGAATCATAGAAATTGAATATTTTCTTCTTTTCAACATGTTACTGATCCTGTAAACATCTTGAGTGTCTTATAATTGTAAACCTTTGTAGCTTTTCTGTGCATCACCTAAAAGCAAGAATCAAATGAGGAAAGCAAATTTGTCATTCTGTACAACCAGCTGTAATCCATGTTAGAATTGTGCTATTTTATATCCTACCATTTTTCAAAGGCTTACTTGGATTTACAGGGATAAAAGACAGTGAAAAATAAGCCACATATGGATAAAACAAAACAGAACATTTAAAAGGAAACAGAGAAAGTAGGTATTACTAGGTACCTATAAATAACAAATTACTACTATTCAGTAACAATTTTCTGTGAACTTTCTGGCAGGAAGGAAGAAAGGGGATTTTTCCTGATGAGATATTTAGTTTTAAAGGTAAAAGAAGCTTGGATATCATCTAGTCCTACCCCCTATCTAGGTGGAAGCCAGGCCATGTCTCTTGAGTCTCTAAACATACCTTCTATTGCAGAGAAGACACTCGTATATAGGAATCCTGTTTTTCTTTCCTCTCACGAAACTCAAGTCTCAATTTACTATATGAAGTTACTGTATAAATAGTACAGAATAACAAATGGGTTGATATCTTCAAGTTCAGTTTTCTTGTTTAAAGATATGGAAATGCTCTTCAGATAGTTGATTCTTGTATCCATAGATAGATATCTATAGATATTGAGTATAATCTTTAGTCAAATCTTAATGAGGCATTTCTGTAAAGGAAAATGTTTTCACCTTAATTATTATTATATGACCCAAGTACTTAGCTCTCTAATGGTTTAACTTCTTTCTTTCCTTTCCTTTCTTTCTTTCCCTTTCTTTCTTTTCTTTCTTTCTTTCTTTCCCTTTCTTCCTTTCTTCCTTCCTTTCTTTCTTTCTTTCTTTCTTTCTTTCTTTCTTTCTTTCTTTCTTTCTTTCTTTCTTTCTTTCTTTCTTTTTCTTTTTCCTTTTCTCTTCCTTTCATGACTTTATTTTTTAGAGCAGCTTCAGGTTCACAGCAGAATTGAGCAGAAAATACAGAGTTCACACATAGCCCTCCCCACCCACACATATATACTCCCCTACGCTCAACATCCCTCATTTGGTGGCATACTTGGTACAATCGATGAACCGGCATGGACACATTATTATCAACCAAAGTCCATAGTTTACATTAGGGTTCACTCTTGATGTTGTACATTCTATGGGCTTTGACAAATGCATAATCACATGTAGCCACCATTATAGTAATTTCATTGCCCTAAAAATCCCTTATGCTCCATCTATTCATTCCTCCTTCTCTCCCTCTCCCCAAATCCCTGGAAACCACGATCTTTTTTATTGTTTCTATAGCTTTGCCTTTTCCAGAATGTCATTTGGTTGGAATCATACAGTTCATAACCTTTTCAGACTGGCTTCTTTGATTTAGTAATATGTCTTTTACGTTCCTTCCATGTCTTTCATGGCTTGATGGCTCATTTCTTTTTTTTTTTACGTCACATATATTTTTAAATTTACATATATGTACTGTTCTTTGTTTCTAAGAATGTTTAGAGCTTTACCTTTTTAAACTTACATAGTTATTATCAAAGGAATAAAGCCAACCACAAAAGAATTAATTCCAAAAGATACATACATCCTGCTATTAACAACAACATTATTTATAATTGCCAAGATACAGAAGCATCCTAAGTGCACATCAGTAGTTGAATAAAGAAGATGCAGCATATATTTATATGTAATGGAATACAACTCACCCATAAAAAAGGATACTTTGCCATTTGTGACCCTTCATTCACTTTTTTTTTCACTTCAAAAACCAGAATTTTATAACTGGCATAAACATTTTCATTGCATCAATAACAGCAAAATACCTAGAAATAAACTTAACCAAGGAGGTTAACTATACTTTGAAAACCAAAATGACACAAAGAAATGGAAAGGTTTCTTGTGCTCTTGGATTGGAAGAATCAACACTGTCAAAATGGCCACACTACCCAAAGCAATCCACAGATCCAATGCATCCCCCCCATTAAAATACGACATTCCTCACAGAGCTAGAACAAACAATTCCAAAATTTATAAGGAACCACAAAAGACACCAAATGGCTAGAGCAATCTTTTCTAGGTCTTTTTCCCCCTCTCTCTTCTTTTTGTTCTCTTTTCTTATGGTTTGATGACTAGAGAAGGTCCTTAAACATTTGTTGTAAAGCTGGTTTGGTGGTGCTGAAATCTTTTAGCTTTTGTTTATCTGGGAAGCTTTTGATTTCTCCCTCAAATCTGAACAAGAGCCTTGCTGGATAGAGTATTCTTGGTTGTAAGTTTTCCCCTTTTATCACTTTAAATATGTCGTGCCTCTCCCTTCTGGCCTGTAGTTTCTGCTGAAAAATCAGCTAATAACCTTATGAGCATTCCTTTGTACGTTATTTGTTGCTTTTCTCTTGCTAATTTTAATATTTTCTCCTTATCCTTAATTGATGTCAATTTGATGACTATGTGCCTTGGTATGTACCTCTTTGGGTTGATCCTGTGTGGTACTCTCTGCGCTTCCTGGACTTGGGTGACCGTTTTCTTTCCCAAGTTAGGGAAGTTTTCAGTGATTATCTCTCCAAAAATTTCCTCAGGCCTTTTCTCTCTCTCTTCTCTTTCTGGGACCTCTATAATGCGAATATTAGTGTACTTAATGTTGTCCCAGAGTTCTCTTAAATTATCCTCATTTCTTTCATTCTTTTTTCTTTTTTCTGTTCTGCAGTAGTGATTTCCACTAATCTGTCTTCTAGCTCACTGATCCATTCTTCTGCCTCATTTAGTCTATTCTTGGTTCCTTCTAGTGTGTTACTCATTTCAGTGATTTTACTCTTCATCTCTGGGTATTCTTTATATTTTCCAATTCTTTGCTAAAAACTTCGCTCTGTGCATCTACACTCCTCTTGAGTTCTCTGAACATCTTGGCCATCATTACTTTAAACTCTTTCTCAGATAAATTGCCTGTCTCCTCATCACTTATTTCTTCTTCTGGGATTTTATCTTGTGCCTTGGCCTGGGAGATATTCCTCTGCCACTTCATATTGTCTATCTTTCTACTTGTATTTTTAGGTAGGTTAGTTATGTTTCTCGACCTTGAAGAGGTGGCCCTCTGTGGGAGACGTCCTATGCATCCCAGCAGTACACTCCTCTCTTGTCACCCAAGGGTCAGGTCCAGCCAGTCCCAGTGTAGAGTCTGGCTTGTGTTTGTGGATTCCTTCCACAGGCTTTGGGATTGTTGTTTTCTTATTTCTAGTATCTGCCCCTGGTGGATGAGGCTGGACTAGAGACTTATGCAGGGTTCCTGGCAGGTGGGGCGGGTGCCTGCCCACTGCTGGGTGAAGCTTGGTCCTGGACCTCTGGTGGATAGCGCTGTGTCTAGAGGCCTTTGTGGCTTAAGAAGTCTGCTGATGAGTGGAGCTGTATTCCCATCCTGTATGTTGTTTGGCCTGAGGCTTCCCTACAGGCTGTTGGGTGGGGCTGGGTCTTGGTGCTAATGATCCGACCAAGATGTCAGCCTCCAGGAAAGGTCATGTAGATGAATGAACACTTCTGGAATGTCCGCCACCAGCTTTTATTTCCCTTGAGTGAGCCACAGCCATCCCCCATTTCCCCAGGATACCCTCCAAAACCAGCAGGCAGGCCTGCCTCTGCCCTAGACCTGGCACACGTGAGTTTCCATGTATGCTTCCCAAGCGAATGAAGTCTCCCTTTTCCCCAGTCCCACGGGGCTCCCGGCCAAGCCCCACTGGCCTTCAAAACCAGATGTCCTAGGGTCTCCTTCTCCTCCCAATGCCGGAACCTGGGCTGGGAAGCCTGACATGGGGCTTAGAGCTCTCAC